TGTTATTCTTGTTTGTCAGTTTGACTTGTCACTATTGTACTTTTGTAGTTAATGTGATGAAATAAACATATTCTATTCTATATATGGTATTTTAGGGCAAACCTGACTGTTTGAAAAATCTCACATTCCTTCGTACTGGAATACTAGACTCTTTGGAAGGAGAAGAATTTGAAAATTTGGTTAAAGAGCATGGTGGAAAGGTGGTACATGGTGTTTCCAGTAATTATCATGATTTTTCAATATCCCTATTTGTTTTAAACCTATGTCATTGCAGAAAAAGTGAACTATCTTGTTGTTGGTGAAGATCCAGGTCCGGTTAAGCTCGATAAAGCTAGGGGTCTCAATATACCAGAGATCAATGAAGACGAATTCTTAGATATGATTTTGGTGAAGTCCGGCATGAAAGCCAAGTTTTCAAAAATGATCTCCGATGTTTCCATAGAATCAGGTATCGCCACTGAAGAAGAACCTGAAAAAAACAAAACTAAAGAAATCAAGAAGGAGGAAAAAGTGAGAAGCAAGTCTAAAGATAAGTCGTCCAAAGAAGAAGCAAAAGAAAAGATTTCTGAATCTAAAAAATTTGCAGAAAACAAAGATAGTGAAAAATCCAAAATTCATTCATCGAAGCCTAAAGAAAAAGCTGCTTCTAGAGAATCTCTGAAAGAAAAAAATGTAGAAAACAAGGAGAGTAAAAATTCTAAAAGCAATTCATCAAAACCTAAAGAAAAAACTGATTCTAGAGTATCTCATGAAGAACAACATAAACTGAAAGATACTCCTAGTGAAAAAGGTAAACCTTTCAAATCTGAAGACTTACCACAAATTGATCGTCCCAAGACAGCGACTTCGGATGACTGTATGTCTTGGACGGAGAAGTACAAACCAAAAGACTTAAAGGGAATAATTGGGCAGCAGGGCGATAGCAGTAATATGAGTAAATTGCAGAAATGGTTGAAAAACTGGTACAGAAACCAACTTCCAGAAGTACGTAAGAAAATACCTAGGCCTTCGCCTTGGGCTAAGAATGACGATGGAGCTTTTTACAAAGCTGCATTATTAAGTGGCCCCCCTGGAGTAGGTAAATGATTCATAATTTCTAGTTTGTGTTTTTATAACAAGAAGAAAAAAAATCTATTGATTAGACGGATGTATGAATTTTATTGTGAAGATCTGCGAGAAATTTTCATTGACCCAGAAAAAAATTAATATTCCTTCATTATTTGAACTTTGCATCCAAACAAGCACTCTTCCCAAACATCAGAATTGGAATATTCTTCTTGACGGGCGTTTCGCCAACCAAGTTGGCGTCTTCAGGAGATGAAAAAAACAATTAGTTCTCTTGGGAAAATACTTCTTTTTGATTTATTCTACACCAGAGGTTCCAGTTTTATTTTTATTACTTTATAAAGAAGTATATATATGAAATTTAATCCAGTTCATAAAATATTTTTTACAATACTTGGTAGTTTTTTCTTAATGAGCTGTGATGGATGTCTTCAATATCTGCTCACTCACTTACTTTGTATAACTACTTATATAAAATTGTGAGTTCTTTGAGAAAAGAAATCATATATTATTGGT